TCCTTGTTTTGCTTTGCTTGCGTGTGTGGCTTTTGCTTTACCTATTAAACTGTCTTTATCTCAACCCATGGGTTTTCTCACTTTTACCCGATTCTGTCCCCCATCCCACTGGGGGGGAGCGAGCAGCTGGGTGGGGCTTAGGTGCCAGCTGGGGTTAAACCACAACAGTTTTGTAGGATGACAACCTTGTGCCTTTGGAAACGCTCAAGAACACTGGCTTTATGGTGTATAAGAAACTAGCTTGCTTGGAGCTCTGCAAAGCTTAGACTCAGTATGTAGGATGATAATAATTCATAACCAGGGATATTTCAGCATTGGTTTTCATCATTCAAACTAAGCATTGCTTTCTGCCCTCACACACATTGCTTGGTGTAGGACTTTCATGCCATGAGAGGCAGCAGGGCTGGAGAACAAGGCATTGTAAGAGGATGCACATGTGTGTGCTCATTCTGACTCTGCTGGATTACCAAACAAGGCCCCAGCCCACTCTTCTTACCTGTTTCTGTCATCTTTCATCTTTTGAGAAGCAGGCTCTGCCTCAGGCACACATCTGAAGATACAGACAAACTTCTCCTCACCAAAAAATGAAGTGGGTTGTTGGTGTTTTTTGTTTGGGTTTTTTTTTGTTTGTTTGTTTGTTTTTTTGTTCTTTTTGTTTCTTACAGAAATCTGACAACAAACCAAGGCTCCACAGCAGGAGCTTGGAGACCCTACATTCCTGTTTTGTTATTACTTTAGTACCTTAGTGGCAATACTAGGCTAGTATCAGTGTCTAGCACAGCTAGACCTTGAATCTCTAGTGTGCCATATTTCCAGTTCTGTGTCCTGAAAACAGGGAGGAATGAGGGATGGCCTGGCTTTTCCCAATTTTGCAAAGTTACTCTGACTTAAAACCTCCACACTAAAACTGAAGTACTCCTTGTTGCTTGTGTATCTTCATATTAGGACACCATAGGACTCAAATTGAGACATTAAGCATAGACTGAGATGGTGAATCCCAACTTTTTTAATTAGTGGTATTGTCTAAATCAAGGTGGTAGTGGGGAAGTTGACCAATGTCTCGAACCATCACTTACATCAGTGGAAAACCACATGCAATCCCATTTCATTTTCTAATACTGATGACTTCAGTACCAACCAAAAGAAGTTTCGCTTAGAGCAGAAACTCTTGTCCTTTACTAGGTATTAGCACTCCCACTTGTAAGTATTACAGGAACGCTGTTCTGATAACCCTGCATTTGTGCTTTTCAACTTCATGCCAGAAGCCCCTCAAGTCCCACCACTGAACCTTACACCAGTGTAAGGCAGCACTGCCTTATGAGTATCCCACCTTTTGCCTTGCTCACACCCCCATGGTGGGACAGCTTCTGATGCAGTTTCATACTTAAGTTTTAGATTGAGTTTTATATTCTAGGAACCAACAAGTCCCCTTCCCAGGACTAATGACACATCATTTTTAGCTTTAAGAGAGGAGGTTACTATATACCAGGTTAATATGAAGCAATCAAGATATGCCATTAATTTTCAGACCTCCTTGGATTTTTTTCTTTATCTTTAAGAGAAGACTATGGAAATACCTGGAGATTTTTCCTGAGGAATGTGTTCTACCTCTTGGAAGGATTGGGTCACAAGCAACACCACCGTCTGCTGCACAAAACTGGCTCCCTTTCTCACACAGCACTGTGTGTTGAAAGCAGCTGGAGAGAAGGGGGGAGAAGTGTATGAAAGGTTATTTTTGCACATTCTACTGCCACTGACCTGGAGAGCTGCCCAGAGGTTCTGCTCCTCTAGAAGAGACAGGCTGCAAGGTATAGAGCCATGACAGGCATGCTTACATTGCACTCAAAATTGGCAACCTCCAGCAGAGCAATTGCTGCAGAGCAAGCAGAGGGCTTAGCCTCTGATCAAGAAAATTGAATGCTATGAAACCTAACTGCTCCACCACATGGAATAGACTCAAGTATATTTTAGTCACTTTATTTGTATCTATATACATTACATTTTGATTCTCCAAATAGTCAAGGCAGTTATTCTCAAACAGATTAGTACATCAATTTTATAAAATACAGCTGAACCAAGGTAGATTAGAAATACATACATTATGGTACATTAAGTGCTTTGAATAATGATTAGTCTGGCCACCTGCTAGTGAGTGATTCATTTGGTTTTGGTCATTCTCAGACAGGAAAATCCACTCCACAGGTAACTCCCCTGAGCCCAGCAGATCTACTTAACTAGCAAAAGTCCCTCATGTGCTTTTGGGGGACAGAATGCATCGCGGGGCCACTACAAGGCATTCTGCTGTCTACACGATGACTCCAAGCAAGTCATCACTTCTGACTGGGACAAGATTTAGACATTTGTCACAAGGCCTCAGATCAAAACAACAAAAGAAAAAGAGCCAGTGTGGCTCTGAAGAAATGCAGTCTTCATGTTTGCAACTGGGATTTGCTTACACACATATATGCTAAACCTGTGTTATAAAGAAATAAAAAACTCTAATCAAAGGGCTCATATAATACCTAGGCTGTTCCCCTAGGACCTCCTTAGGCATACTGCAGGGACACAGACTTAACACTGCCCCACAAGGAGCTCTCTCAAAGATCTCTTCTGCATGGAGTATTGCTCTCCTTTGAGAAAGTCAGCTTTGTAGCAAGTGAAATGCCAGGACAATTCTTATTCTGAAAAGGGAACGTTTGAGGAGATCTGCTCAACTGCTGGGATTGGAACTAGAAATGCTTACAGCTTTATGTCACATGGCACCCAAAGATGTCCCAATTGCAGTTGATACTGCAGCTACTGTGTTACCCATGACTAGTAGTTTGCTATTTACTCCAGTCTGGTCAGGACCAGTCTATCAGCCACATCCTGACCCAAAGTTAGCTGTTGATGCCAGCTCAAGATTACTCCTGCAAATCTCTCCAACTGCTATAACTTCAACCCAAGAAGGTCACAATTCACACGTCTGGGCTCTGCATTCACAGGCTGCAAAATAGCTGGCCAGTGGAAGGTTCTCTCACTTTTACAGTGCTGAGGGCCTCATGCTGTCATGTACAGGGGAACATTAGCTACAGTCAGATGATCACGTTGCTTTAGAGCCAGCTGCTTGGGACTCTGAAAAACAAGCAGTATAGAGCAGCCACACATCACTAGAGTAAGGGTTACTGGTGACAGGACAGGACTAGCACCTCACAGCTCTACATTAGCCTAGTGCAGATGCTATGACACTGCCCATATTCATGCTCCATCAACCAATCCACATACTGACAAAGGTGGAAGATAATATAACCAGCTGCAGTTGGGTCACTTTAGCTGGTCAGGCAAGTCAAGTTTTTTCCCTGTAAACTTTAGGAGAGGAAGAAGGAATAACATACGTAAACTTTAACTGAGACTGGAACAGATTCAGGCTGCATGGCATGCTCATTCACATCGATGGACCAAGACAGAAGCTAGAAGCCACAGAAGTGAGAGCAGCATTGAGCTGATGGACTGGTTGGTTCCTCATTAGCTAAGGCCCCGCACACAGCTAGCCATCCTGGGAGCACATTTCAACACAGGAGGCAAGATGTGTCCCAGAAGTGGTCAGCTGTACCTGATGCACTGTGTTGGACCGAGGGGATTCTGGGCCAGAGGAAGCAAGTAGTACTGTTTCATCTTTCCACAGCACACATCACTGCAGCCTTCAACACTGCACCCCCAGAAACAATTGATTACATTGTACAGAGGAAGTGAGAACACTTTCATTTCTGCCGCTTCAAAGTCAGCATCTTTGCTCATCCTCCAGTAGGGCTTTGCAACAGGGTGGGGAAGACTTTTTCCAAATGACTGTTGCCTCCTGGCAGCTCAGACCTGAGCTGCACTAGTTGTTTCTGGAGCCAACAGTTCAATTCTCACTGCTGGCATTTTCCCTTCTCAGTGCTGCCCAGCTGTCACTCCTGAACGGGGCCACCACTATCTGCTGCAGAAGAAAATACTGAACACAGGAGGAGTGAACAAAATGCACATTTCAATCCATAGTTACAGTGAAGATGGCATTACCAGGCAACTGGTCAGAAAGAGCAAGTGGTCATAAAGAGCTATACTGTCCCAGGCTCCATGTTCGTTTGAAGTCCTTCCATCAGAGACTGGAAGTCAAAGGACAGTATTCTTGCCTCTCAAACTCATAAAAAACCCTCGTATTTACTGGCCTATATTATAATGATGCTAAAAAGTAAACTCATCACCTACAAAAACAGGTAAAAATTAATAAAAATGGAAAGAAGTGCTTATTGTCATAACAGAGATTCGCAGATCTCTGCACATCTTACCCATCATACAAGATACCTGTTAGTTCAGGTTTTTCTTTTTACAGAAAAAGACTACATTCATCTCAGTGGTGCAAAAAAACCCAAAAATCTAATACTGCTGAAGAGACAGTTTTTCCATTGGGACTGCACAGTTTGATGAGATCTGAATGCTCATTCTCATCAGCATGTCATGAATGCAAGAAAAACATACTCCTGGCAAAGTTTCACCATGAGGTAAATGCATTGTTTGAAAGTCCTGGGGAACTGAAATGGATTTGAAGTGATCTGCCAGGAATGATGGTTTCATTAAGGAGAAAGTTGTCACTCTAAAGCAGTATGCTTCATTTTGTCTAGCAACTTAGTGCCTTCTGCTAAGGAAAGGGTTAATCAGCTTCATGATTAATCAAGTCTTGTTAAAATAAAGGGTATTTTTTTAAAGTTACCTGTTTCCAGGAATTGGGCAACATTCAAATCAAAGTACTCTTTAGGATTGAAGGGATACGTTTTGGGTTTTGCAATATGCTGATGACTGACAACCCATTTTTATGGGATTCAGCTAAAATGAAATTATGACAGGTAAAGACAGAATTGTACTGCAGTAATATAACTTAAAAGACATAGTGATATGGCATTATAGCTGTGGAGCTGCCTTTTAAAAAAAAAAAATACTGTCTACAGAACCCAGGAAAAATTGCAGAGCTCTGAAGCTGCAGAGCATAAGCAGGACAAGTTATTAATGGATCCTAAACAGGTCAACTACAGACCACTGCAACAATAGCAGAACTCAGGAATTAACTTCATTCTTCTCTCACCCACCCACACACACAGAGGGGGGTTTATTTCACATTTGCAGTACCACGCATCCACTACAGAAACATGAGCTGCTCATATTAAACACCACTTAGGCAGTGCAAGACTTAGAGAGATCACGTACTTCTACACTATCATGAACTGGATAGTATCTGTTTCAGTGCTCTTACATGGAGATAGCATCACCTTCCCTACTGACAGAGGGAATGTCTCTTATCAATGCTGTTCAGTGGTACCTTACAGCTTAGATCCTTAGTGAGGCTGGTTCGCTTATCAGCCTCCAAGAGAGGATTAAAGTGCAAGAAGCAGATTTCACGCTTCATGACATGACGCACACGGTCAGTGTAGACATGGAACTGCAATCCTCTTGCTTACTGCTGGACAGACCGCAGGAAGAGAGTGGCCTATAATGTCATTGTCCTCTTGTGCTTTCCCAATATGGGCTTTAGCTTAGCAATTCAGGCCCAGTCCTGTCCAATGGTCTGGCACCATCAGGAAATACTTGTCCATAGCTTCACAAAACCTGGTCCGGTACAGTTCTGGAGAGACCACAGTTGGCATCTTACCTAATGTGTAAGAGTCAAGAGCAGTTAGGAATGGGCTAAAGAGTATACTGCAGTACAGACAGATGTCACATGAGATTACAACACCAGACAGCATAATCATGAAGGCATACTATACATGTAAGGGTCTTGGAACCAACTGCCTTTTTTTTTTTTTTTTTTTTAATTTATTTTAAACCTTTAGGAGAGAAGACAGACCAAGGTCTGGACGCCTAACACTGAATTGAGATACCTGAAGTTGGAGGAACCATCTAGGCTTTTTACATCAGCGCTGATCAGTTTGTTTCTTCTTCTCATCTCCTGTTTACAGGTCTTTGAGGTTTTCTAGCAGAGATGCAAATTTCTCCCATCAAGAATTTCACTCTATGGATATTCTCTTATCTTCTCCAGACACCTGAGCAGTGGTACATCAAGTGTTCCCCTTCCCTTCTCTTTCCAGCCCTCCTATTAACATGTGGCCAACACTAGGCAATGATGCACAAAAGGTACTCTGCTTCCACAAAGGGAACTCCTCAGGTCCTCAAAATATGGGCAGGAGTCAATTGTTTGATAAGGATTCCTCCACACTAACAGCTCAGAGTATATCTGCTTTTCTGGACTCAGAAAACATCTTCTGAAACCAGGCAGCAAGGTTTTTTGCTAGTATCTCTGGATGGATGACTAAATTTGTATTGAGCAGTTGGTAACTAAGAAACAGAAAAGAACAGTCTGATAAGTAGATGACCTTTACTCCATTCTCAGGAATTATAGTACTTAAAGGGTCACTCATGGAGGCAGATCAATGTATTAATTTTTCTGAAACTTGTTATTCCCTCCCCTGTTCTGGATAACTTAATCTAGTGTTGCAAATTTGCATGGTGGGGAAGTTGTGGCTTTATTAGCACAGTTATTGGAAGCTTCCATGTAATGAGGAAACATGATCAAAAGTTTTGCTTTGATTCTGGACTTACCTTGTCCTCCCAAGATGCCAGTTGACTTCACCACCATTTCAAGCTTTTTGTCCCAGGTAAAAGTGCGAATATAGTCTGTTGCAATTAAAAAAAAAAAAATTAACACACAAACATGTCGTATCTGCTATAACCCAAGTAACACTATTCTAAAATGTATCTATTTCTCCTCAAAAAGGGCAAGAAACCAGTAGGCTTCCATAGCCCGAAGAACTTCAGTGTTTTCCCTACCAGTTGCCTCACTTTCCAGAGTATTCATTATATTTGGGTAGGGTGAATACGGTATCTCAAAAGCCCAGCAAGATCACAATCAACTCTTCCTGCCTCTACAAAAACAGACTGCCCAGGCATGTCTGTCTTTATCCAAGAGTTACTTAGCTGATCCTCATCCCAGAAAAATATCAAGAAGCCCCAGTTCACCATAACAGCTCCCACTACTTTACTGCAACAGCTAGCAGTATCAAGACCTGGACACCTATCCATTTAAGCAGTAGTAGTATTCCTCACAATTGCAGCCACCTACAGGTTGTAACAGAAAGCAAACACTTCTAACTTCATGATATGGAGGACTGGAAACACTTCGGAAGAGGGGGCTGCAAGGAGAAGACGACTTCAGAATTGTTTCCAAGCCCCTTTCAGAGAAAGCATGCGCAGTCATTACAAGCACATGAACATTTTGGTCTGCAAAGTTGAAGCTGCAGTAAGTTAAGTTTTTCATTGCTGGATATCATTATCTCCTAACATTTGACTACAACTGTAATTATACAATTTAGAATTTACTGTTTCTAGATTTACAAAAGGCCACCATAAGTATCCACATGTTTCACCTCAGCTGTGCTTTACACAAAACTCATCCAGACCTGCCAATCTTAACACTTACCCATTTATCTGAACACTCTTTGAAAATGCTCCCTTAGAGTGCTTTGGGATTGATATCACCAGTTTGTGCACTAACTATTGTCACTTCATGCCACAAGACCCAGAGCTCCACAGAACAGGGCCTACAAATAAAAAAGTCTTCACAGCTCCTCGCAGACCTAACTTACTTGTTTACTGTATCACATTAGGATCTAAAATAGGTAGAGATTCTGACCTCAGATCCAAACTTAGTCCAAGCTAATGGTTTTTAGTTCTGCCCCCACCGCAAATTTAGCTTGACTATTTCGTAGGTTCTCAGGGTATCATTTAGAGACATTGTGATAGCCTGATACAGCAGGCATGTTCTCTCTTCTTGAAGACATTTGTGTTAAACAAGCTCCTTCATATGATGAACAGCTGTTCTCACCATAGTAAGGAACTGTTAGCTTTAAACATCCTGTAAAATATACTCTTTAATCAGATAAGACTTTCCATAGGACAACAAAAAGCCACACGTACAGAAGGAGCAAAGTCTCATCCCATTTACCCAAATATTCAAGAGTCTACAAAACTAGAAAGTAATAACAACTTGCAGTTCTTTGTAGCTGAGACTTCCAATTCTCAACCAGAAGTGTTATTGAAATGGCTTTCAAGCTTTATCAGAAAAAGAGTAATCCACACCTCCTGGCTTAAGACCTCATCTGGAAGCATTTCTGAGCTAGGTTTCAAGAGCGTCTCATTTCCAAGAGTCACTTCCACATCCTGCAAAATGGCTTCATCTCCAAGTCTTTTGCACAATACAAGTTTGCCTGTCTAAAGATGAAGCTCTACTTTGCAGTCACAAGTCGGAGGTTGCGGCAAGGTAATTACTGCATTGCCACGCATATTATCCAGGTCAGACTACATGATCACAAGTGATCCCATGACGTTTAATTTCCCTCTTCCATCCCTACCAATGTTGCTTCTCCTTAGATCCCCTCCACACAAGTTAAAATTTAAATGGCTATGTAAACATTACTGAACTTAACTTTAAAGATTTTTGAAGATAAAAGCATACAAATAACCTTCCCTACTTCAACTGGAGTCAACGTGTAGGTTAAACACCAACTTGACTGCTTTTTCACTACCTGTGAGGCCTCCTGCATATATTCTTAGCAATGCAAATGCTAATACAAGCCCATACAAAAGCTGGAGAGAAGACTTCCTGCCTCCACTTTGAATACCCATGAGAAGTGAGGGTGGCATTCCATCAGGGAGAAGACAAGCTTTCCTGACATACATCTCTGGTGGTGGTGGTACAGTTCTAAGAGTACTATAAACACCTAAACCAGAAGAAAGCAGTTTCACCAGCTGAAAGCAAGAAAATACAAAAAGACAACCTACCAATGATCCCAACAACCAGCTCATTGTTGGTATCATCACGACCCACCAGCAGGGAATAGTCGATGATGAGGTGGCTGGAGAGGAACTGGGAATCACTGTGTATGGAAGCTCTCAGCACAGCCTTGCAATGGGAACGGATGTACAAAGGATTGTCCCGGACCATCTTCAGAAGGTTCTCATCCAGCAGGACTACATCACAGCTTTCCTTGCCTGTATCTGTTTTAACATTTCTATTCCGGAGGGAGCCCTTCAGGTCAAAAACCTGCAAATTGAGAACAGCACCACTTTTTTCCATTGTTCTGTGAGGTTAAAGACTTCAACATACCTAACTGCAGTGTTTGAGAAGGCAACACGGCAGGGCAACTCTTTCCTTCTCCACAGGAGGAAGACAGTTAACAAAAAACATTTTCATACTACGAAAAGTTTCCTGAGTGGAGAGTAGCATGTAAGCCTACATGAAAGCTCTGCCACCTCAATTCACAAATTTTAGGCTGACAAATATAAAGCCAGTGAAGAGGGAGGTGGGTCTTGCATGACGCACTGTTTAACATCTCTTGGCAAGGCAAGAGACAGACCACCATTAGGTTGGAAAGGACCTCTGGAGGTCTCCAGTCCAACGCCCTGCTTGAAGCAGGTCCTGTTAGAGAAGGTTGTTCAAGCCCTGTCCAGTCAAGATTTGACTAACTTCAGGGATAGAGTCCATAGTCTCTTTAGATCTCTGTTCTAGTGTCTGACCACACTGCTGATTTAGAAAACAGACAAATAAAAACAAAACCAACAACATCCTTTACATCTACCTAGAATTCTCTCAGTTCACTTCCTCCCACAAATATCCCGTTTGAAGTCAGGCACTGGGAAGCAAAGTGGAAAGAATTGATACTATCTAGTTTTAGAAGCAAAATTTGTTTGAACTTCCATTTCAGCATCAACTCTGTATTTGAAGAGAATTTTCCCTCAGTCATTTTAGGGTCTTCATTCTACTGCTTCATAAAGGTCGCTTTTCCTTTACTAAGAGCAAGACTGAACTCAAAATCTTGTTCCACACATGAAGTGGTTCAGGGAGAGAAGAGCGGGTTCAAAACATTATTAGTTTCCCCCCCACTACACAGTAGCTTACCATCTCTGTCAGTGAGGCTCTCCTAAACAAATTAGACTGTAATCCAAATTAGTTCTTCTAAAAGCTTTGCAAAAAGGTTTCACATTTTCCTAATTAGGTTGGCAATGCTTTCTCTCAGACACCGGACTTGCAGGGACAAATAAGACCTCTAAAAACTTAAGCGTGCACTACAGCTATCTGAACTAGCCAATATAGACATCAAGTTACCGAGGCTCACATAACAAGGAAACAGGCACAAACTATAATCTTTGAGCAGTGCTAGATATCGACAGCACATGCAAAGTTAAAAGTTACCTAGACGGCTAGTGGTAACCGTGCTCTTGCTCCCGGTCAGAATTGCACTGCTAGGGAATGGAACACTTTGTTCTTACCTGAGCCATTTTCCTGCCGTAGAAAAGGTTTTCCATGACAAGCAGATCCAGCTTCTTTTCAGTGTTGTTTTGAGAGTTCTTGTATCCAATTCGATATACCCCAAGGATTTTGGCCAGTGCTGTGGGCTTCTGATGAAGAGAAGACATGGGGTAAGATCTCTGTGTACAGGCAATCAGCAATCAAATACCAGAGGCGCCACTGTTCTGTCTGATTGTGTATCACGGCTTAGAAGCTCTAGCAAAACTCCCACTTTTCACCTTAAAAACACATTATTAGTACAACTCATACCCTCCGACATTTTCTTTTACTTAAATGAAAGGGGTTAATGGAAAACTGTTACTAGCCTGTAAAATATAGAACACTGCCTAAAATAAAAGGCACTTCTTTTTCTTTTAAAATACCTTCTGCTGAACTGCATTAATGATGTAAGTGAAGTAGTGTGGAGCAAAGTCAAGGAACGACTGGACTTCCAGACGAGGCATCTGTTTCAAGATGAATCTATCATCTGTTTTAACATCAGACAGAGGCAACGGGGTTACATACAGTAAGTGATATATTCTTCGCAAGTTCTTTAGGATTGTCACACAGCTGAAGTGGATTGAAGAATTAAAGGACTACAATTCTTTTAAATCCTTAGCTACAGAAGCTCATTTTAGAAACTTTTTTACTTCATATATTCTGAATTTCAGTATTTCAGCCTTTCTGGATTTCAGCCTTCTAGCAAATCAGGGAGAAGAGACTGCCTAAGTTAGATTACCTCAGCTACATGGGCTTCTTATACAGACAACAGAAACAGCCTACAGACCCTTCCATTCAAGACCTGTTTTAAGTAGGGGCCTAGAATCAGCCACAGTTAAAAAAAAATCCTATAAATCAACTATAGCATGTGGGATTATAAGAAACACTGTGTCTTTAATAACCAGTTTTCCTGGTTATTATACTCAAGAATTATGATCAAGTTTTTGTTTTCTGAAGCCTGCCTAAGAAAGTACAACTCTTCTGCTCAACTGGCCTCCCTAGCTGCTACTACTGAAAAACAGAACTACATTTTGTTCTCCTGCACATACAAAGGGACAAATAATCTGATACTGAAGATCCCAGAACAATCCACTTAACTTTCCATTCTGAGTGGCCACTTCACAGTCAGCAACCCTCTAGCTAGAGGTAATCAGGGATTAAACAATCACCATCCCTAAATAATAACCTCTAATTACGAAGGGGGAAGAAGCTGCATTTACCCTCGGTCACATAGAACGCAGCCCCAGATTTGCCACCTCGTGCCTGCCAGGGCAAAGAGTGAGAGAGGGATCGGATGAAGTCCTCTTCACTGCTCCCCAGTATCACTTCACGCATCTTGTGAAACTCGCCAGCATAATAAATCCGGCAGTAGAACTTGGCATTTGCGTCTGAAAACTCTGCAAAAAAAGGTCTTACTCAATAACAGCATGCAATACTCACTGACTACCTGAGATGACACTTACAGATTTTACTGATGTCTAGAAGAATATTATTGTGCTAAACATCCTTCTCTCACGCCTATTGTACTTTGGAAGTTTAAACCAATAGGATTTAAATGGAAAACTTACAGGAAAGTGAACGCAAAAGATCAATTAAAAAAGAAAAGGTTTATGGGGTATTTTTGCAACAGAGAGACTGATTACAGTATGTAAAAATTGCATTGCTCTGTTCTTGATTTGTTTTTCCTTCCTGCCCAATAAAAAGAAAAAATAATTATTACTTCATGATTTCCATTACATTTGCATGAAGAAAGGAGTTTGTCAGCTAAGACTTCAAGTTATTATTGCAACTACTCACGGAGTTCCACATGGGGATTCACCAGCTGTTTCTTCTGTCCATCTCCTCCATCTACATCATCTGAAGGCATAAAGGGACCATTCAGTCAGGGTTGTTCATTATTATTACTGAGAAAGCCATGTAAGATACTACTTGTAAACTCACATTACAAGAAAAATATTTTCTTTTTTCAAGAATACAGAGGGAACTATATATAGGGAATTAGAGATACAACTATAATTGTATGATATAATATGTATGCTAGAAGGGCACTGCTATTCATGGGACATATAAGTACAAGCTTTCTCTTTGTTTTCTCTTCATTCATTTTCCATGAGCTGAAACAACGAAAGTTAAACAGGAAGCGAAGAAGAGAAACTGGGCTGCTTAACTAGAGTCAACTCAATCCAAAGGCATTCAAGCCCAGACTACCCAACGCCCCTATAGTTACCGGGGTTTGAAAGACCCTATTTCCCTTCTTATAAAGTAAAGCAATGTCTTTAGGAGAAACCTACATTTGACACTCAAATCATTCATTTTCAATGCATGTTGAGTAATCTTGGACTGTTGAAAAAGTATGAGCAGGAGTGCATTCTGGGCCTTACAAGTTTAAATGAAGTTTGGGAGAATTAACAATCCAAGACAGAAGAGGGATTCAGCAGTCTTGTACCTTGAGGCTCAGCTCCTTGGTTTTCTGCTCCCTCTTTGCCCATCTGTCCAACCTGGTAGTAGGCACTGTCAGCACCACGTAAGGTCTCTTTCTTCTGGGAAGAAAGGTCTGGGCTCTTCCCTCCCGTGCCACGGAAGAAAGACAAAACGCCAGATGGTTTCTTTGCTACAGTGAAAAGGAATAAAGAAATTGGCCTTGGCATTTCCACAGGCAGTTTAATAAAAGCATGATTCAAACGAGCATTCTCCATTCGTTGTTCTAACTGGAGGAACAATGTCATTCAACTGTAACTCATTTGCTATTCTGCAGGCAATCAAGGTCCACCAGGTTAGCTGATTTACTGTTCTGAGTAGCATTCTGGAATGCTGAGTCATTTGAAAATACAGACCAAGCGTGAGCATCTTTAACATAGTAAGAACCTCACTTCTCCATTTTGAAATATTTTATTTTCATCTTTTTAAAGAAGGCAGTGCCAAAAGAGGTCAGAACATATTATTGACATCATACCCCAGGCTAGAGTCAAGAACAACCCAAGGTCCACTACATCATAACATATTAAATCAGGGAATGATAGTATGATCTCATAAGAACCAGGGAAAGGATCACGGGCACAGACTTCAAAAGCCAAACAAACACCACCCCGCCATGTTCTACATTGAGTCAACTCTAAGACTAGTCACAATTTCAACTCAGAATGCATTTTCTTTGTTCTAACTTAACTTTCACAAGAGCTAGAACCCAGGTTAAGTGGACTCAAGTCTGAGCTGAGATTAGCATCATGGATATGATTTTGGCAAAGTGGTCTTACGCTGTTCTGGTTCTGCATTGCGATTTGATGGACACATGTTAGCCTCAGGCAGGCGGACAGGGCTACTGCTCTTTGGTTTGTTGTCTGACGTGCTGAAAGGAGAAAGAAAAAAAGTCATGAGCCCAACAAATACCGCCACCTGAGACACACTTTACTCCTGTACATTTATTTCTCCTCCATGCCTAACATTAAGTACTGCTAAGGGAAGAGGATACAGTTTAAAGTTGTAATGGTGTGGGACTCTCCAACGTTGTCCTCCTCCACCTCCCTGAGAAAAACCTCTCAGGGCTCCTTAGCAACAGTTCCATCCATCACCACAGAAAAGGTAAGCAGGCCTAGTAATCCCTACCATGCACACAGTCAAGGGATCAGGTGATGGAACCAGCACAGTCCCCAACATGAAATGGAAACTCAGATACTACAAGTATGTGTTGGTTGCATGGAATGTGTCAGATCCCATCAGAAAGCAGAGATCCTAACAAAGGCATATTTTCAGGGTCCTTCCCCATCCTAGCTTTGGCTTATTCACTACAATCACTGTGCCTTTGCTCTATGTACTGTAGTTCCTGCATGTAACCTGTTCGGCTGTAGTCCTTCTTCAGAACTGTTCTTCAGAGATGCTTTGGACAACTCATCTAAGGCATTTCTGTATTCCTTGCAACTGAAGGGGAAAGGAAAAGAAGGGGAGGGGATTAAAAAAAAAAAAAAAAAAAAAAAAAAAAGGAGTCAGCTGTTCTCTGGGAGACTTCGTAACAGCAACCCAAAGATTCAGTTTAGAGACAACCACAGGAAACAAAAACCCACAGTAGAAAAACCTCTCCTTCATTTTTTCTTACAATTAGAATTTAGTTCCCTTAGAACAGAAGCTGCTCTAGATCATACTGCAGGAAAAATCTCCCCTTGTTTCTCCCCCTCCCACAATTTAAGAATGCGCTTCTTTAAAAGTCTGCTGCCTTGTGACACGCAAACCCCAAGATTTACTGAAGCAGCTGGTTTGGAGAGCTGAGTAGTAGCAAGAGCTGCTACAACCAAAGGTAGGCAAGGGACAGATTGCAGTTTGAATACCTAACTGTTGTTCCCTAGCTCAGTTGCACTTCCTCCAGGCTGGAGAGCTGAGCAAAATTTAGTGCACTTCTTTCTCTAACAATATCACATTACAGGGAACACTACACAACTAATCCATTTAGAGTTCGGCAAGAAAAGCCCAAAATCCAGCTGCAAGTTGGAAAACCTACTTTCTGTATCTTAGTAGTAAAGAACTTCAGCTCTGGCAGAAACTCTCAACACAGCTGAACAAAGAAATTCCGTCATGCTTAGGATTTAAATATTCCTTACACAGAAAAGCTGCAAAAGTACAGCATGTGTCAGATGAACAGCAAAATCACACCAGTACCTGAGAGCAAAAGCTATGATGGAGCTTGGTTCTTTCTCGCAGACTGCAATAGGTACACGTTCATGCTCATACATTAGGTAGTGTTTATCCGGGTCACTAAATGAAAACAACATAGGGTGACTATTAGTAGATCATAAAAGTTTGTGGAAAGAAAAGGTTAAGTTTTGCTCAAAACCCAGATCTCATCACTGCACGCCCAGGCACAAGCTGCAAGTCTCAGCATGGAACCAAAGCTCCCCAGATCAGCTTCTCCCATTAGACACATTCATTGCTATGTGGTTAAATCTAAATGGTAATGTGTTAGGGCAATCAGCACTTCAAGCAAGCTGCTTGTATCAGAAGACCAGCTCCAAGTTAGAGTAAGAGTCTATTTCTGTTTAGCAGCCACTGCTTCTAATGGCACCAAAACCTGCCTGAGTTTGTTTTGACTGTCCTGCAGGATAGCCTGCAGAGTGAAGTCAGGGGACAAACGTGACTCTTTTCTGAACAAGCAGTTTAGCACAGAAAATTCCTCAAAGCCTCCTGGGTTTCTGTAAGATTTTCTTTTACTTATCTGTAGGTTCCAGTCATTTAACTTTTACCTCATTAGACCATGGTCTCCACTACTACACTGGGGGTAGGATTCAGAAGTTAAAGTCAGGCTGCCAAACGTTAGGCTCATGTCAAACAAGAAACACTACAAAGCACACAGACCAAGTAGCTGAAAGACTTTCCAGCCTGCCCGTTTTCACATGAGAGGGGAACTTGAGGGCACATGCAGTAGCCATTGAACCTGACCTACACCCAGACAAAGCCAATTTGAGTCCAACCCTTGGAAGAGGTCTGGAAGCAAAAACAAGAGGCAGGCATGTAGCTTTAGTAAGTCTTTGCTAAGGAAGGACATTTCTGCTCCCTCCCAGCAGCACTGAAGTTAGAAGGCACCTTTCTCCCCCTTCCACCCACCCCTTCCCCTCCCATAAGAGTTCTGAGGAGGCATGCCTGCTAGGAGGAAAAGAAACTGATAATGTATATGCAAAAGGGTGGATATCATTAATAAGAAAAGCGTGTAACCTACAAACAACTAGAAGGGACACAGAAAACTTCTTGCCTTGAGGAAGTTCTATAGCTTATTCAGAAGCAAACCCAAGTGATGATTTAAATTATATACTGAGCAAAAGACGCATGCACGGGTCTGTCTGCAGTTTGACCAGGCTGCTAATTTTGTACATCATATATATTATGCAGTACTTACAATGGAAATGGAATGGGGTTATAGTTGTTTCCAGGCAAAAAGTTAGCCAAAATAGCTTTCATAGTAGATTTCTCCTTCACTTGGCTGTCTGTAGATCCCAGTGAGTGTCCATCAAACACATCTGGAACAGAGATAAGGTAAGTCTGCATCACAATATCAAACTTCAAGCTGTAAATTCAGAAGCAAGGTTGCAGACCACAAAGTTACCAGATTTGCCATTTCCTAAACGCATCTCATACACTTGCCACAGAGAAGCAAGAGAAAGAATACAAGAACACAACTGAACTATACCTTCTGAGCTGCTTGTTGTATCCTGTTCAGACAGTGTGTTGGCACCAGTCATATGCTCCGATACAATCTCTGGAGAGGTGGGCAGCTGAAGATGGGTGGAGCCTGTGGAGCTCTGACTTGATAAAGTAGTCAGGAAACGATCCTCTGAGAGTACAAGGACAGTTAAGGACAGACAAAAGCATTTTACATGGCTCGCAGAAGTGATACTGCTTGTTCCCAGGTGAAGCTATCACCAGGGTCTACTTCCAAGAAGTTTTTACTTAGAAAGCAGGTAAGGCCACCCAGAGCAAAGGAACCGGCAAGCTGATTAACGTAGTACATAACCTCCAGGAGATGCATACACTTATACCCACTACCTTCAGTTCCCACAAACTCTCAATATGCCTCTCAGGTAAGAGGTCTCAGCACCCATAACCACTTCACAGAAAAGGCAAGAGTCATTTCCCAAATTCCATGCAGTTATTCAGTTATTTAGAAAGCCTCTGCAAGTTTTTAAACTCAAGTTCAAAGGAAAACCCTTGCTGGCCAATTTAGTATCATCAGTATTTCCACTTCATATTAGAAGCAGACTTTGCTTTTTATAATAGTAGGCCAGAAATTGGCTTATTCCCATCTGACACAATGGAGATACACTGTTTCTCTAAATTACCAAATTTGACAAAGGCTCCCATGTTATGTCAGGGAAAGGGTTACAGCAAGCTTCTTTTAGTACCTTAAGAAAAATAAATAAATAAATAAACAACAGACCTTTCTCTCCATTTTGCAGTGCTGGAGAAGCATTGCGTGGGGAAGCATCCATGCTACTGATCTAGGAAAAATAACAAAATACCAATGTTGATGCCAAGCTCTTTATAGCTGTATCCCTTCCTCTGCAGAACACTTGCAAAAGCACAGGTACCACAACAGAGCACTCCCACCCACTGCACTGTCACTGTATCTGCCACCACAGGAAAAAGACAAGGCAACAGCAACCCAGCTTCACAAGATGCTTATGATTGCTATCATCTCTGTATGCTGATTTAAAGACTACACTCTTCCTCTATATAAACCTACTTGCTGCTAGATCAAGGTTAAGTGTGCTTTAGCATCTAACAAATATGTGTTAAGTGGAAAGGACACGTATGCATGCAGCAGAGAAAACCCAGGGTCTCATGGGGTTTCTTAGTGCACCTTGCTAATGTTAGAACTATTGGGAGATCAGCCTCTCTGTATGATGCTTATTCTCAAAGTACCAGCTCCCCAAAGGGTGGTTGTTCAGCATGCTGGCAACTGTACCCTTAGATAGAGCTCTTGAGGCAGCAGTCCAAAATCATTTATACATCCTCTCAGCCAGCTCCCACGGGACACATCACAGAACAGAGATGAACCTGCGAATTCATTATCAGTCCTTCCTGTGTTCTTTGCTCTGACTCTCCCCATAATTTTTGCCTTTTCTTTTTCACAAGGGATAAACCTGATGGGCAACAAGCTAGGGTCTAACGAGGTGACCTCCTTCCTATCTAGGCATATGCCTGACAATGACTGTAGCTCTCCGCTGTCAGTATTCAGATTAACACTACACAAACGCCACAGAAAATCATCAAATCCTATTCATACTTAGTCGTCTTCTGTGTAATATGGCTCTTGGTTCACATCTTTAGGAAAAGATACATATACTAACCTGCAATTCAAGCTTTTACAGCTGAAAACTACATGATGCAGTAAAAAAAGTTTACTAAGTGAACTGAAGCCAGTCTTAAGACTGCTGTGTAGCCCTAGGGAAAAAAAAAGTTTAAGTCGCTTCTAGCCTGCTACTCCTACCTTGCTTTCTTCACCTTGCCTCAGTCTCCCAGGGCTGGGTGGTACTGATGGACGTTTTCTCCCTTTCTCTTGTTGGAAGAGATCCTGCAATCTTAAAAAAACAAAACACAAACCCCACATAAAAACCCAAAGAAAAATTAATCAAAAGATAGGTTGCATGTATTAGCTGTGAAAGGCACAAGTTATGAAGTTTCTCCATACTAGAATACAGCCAAGCATGCCTTCATAAGTCTTTACTGCAAACTCAGACGGTTGCCAACATGTGCCAAAGCTATGTTTCAAATGGCCAAAACCAGAACATTTTCTTCACCTCTGAGATAATTTCACCCAATTAATTGCTTTCCCATGCTCCCCTCTTCCTTTATTCAAATGTGTCCTGGTTCCAGCTGGGACAGAGT